TCTGTTCAAGCATTCATGGGAAGGCTCTGGTAGTGAGGCTGGAGTTACAAGAGAATGAAGTGATGGAGGAAGGGTAGAGAGCTGGGAGGGGATGGAGCCAGAGTACAGAGGGAGGGGCTACCGGTTAGAAGCTGTGGAAACGCTTCCCCCACGGGCACAGGAGACACAGGAAAGGGAGGGTGCAGAAAGGATGTTTGCAGGAAGAACTCAAGAGCTCCTGTTTAAAGTTTTTTACTTTCTGTGTGAAACTGAAGACCAGGCCACCTGCTTAGAGAGGAAAAGGCAGAGTGAGAGGGAGGTGGAGGGGGATGGGCAGAGCAGGCTGGAGAAATACAAAGGAAACTTGCCAACAGCATCAAAGGCATGAGCAGCATCCAAATGGTGATTCTGGAAGACGGCAGGGAAAAGAAGTCGTGTTGGTTTGGATGGAGGGTAGGGATGTTGAGGAGTGTGGGAAGGGTCATGACCACATATAAAATGGTCTTGCTGACGGGCCTGCTTAATACATATGGAGAATTCTGGCTCTTTACGTGTATGTCTGAGAACCAGCTGTTGGTGGTAAGAAAAGATGAAACTCAGAATAACAAACACTAAACACTGGAAACTGAGATGGATAATACACAGAAGCCTGTTCTGTCCAGATGCTGATCTAAAACTCTGATGCTACCAGGACCCACATGGACATTGGGGAGCCCTGTGCAAGCCACACTCTCACACAGAAAGTCCTTAACGGTCTACAAAGACTTCTCCTTAGAGGATAAGAAAACAGTAACTATCGCTACACGAGGTGTTCGTAAAAAACAAATAGATGAGGATAATGGGAGAGCAATGACGTTTTCAATTCTCAGGGGGAAAGCAGAGGTTGGGAAATTTTCAGAACACTCTTTGGCCTTCTTAATAGAAGGAGACATAAAACCCACCAGTTAGGCCCAAAAGTTCTTAACAAGAACAGAGAATAAAATGAAAATAAGGATGATGGGGAAAAGAGGAAGAGAGAGAAATGAAAACCTTCCATTGAGACTCAGACACTCAGGACTTTAGTCAACTGGGAGGAAGGAAAGATACTATCATTTCTTGAATGACCAATGTGCTCATTCATTTCTAATGAGAGAGAACATGCAGGCAATGTCTCCTATTTTAAAGGTGACAAAAATGAAGCTAAGAGAGGATAAGTAATTTGCTCAAAGCTCCTAAGAAGAGGGGATCTGAACAAGGACTGTCTGATTTCAAGGATCCGGACCTCCACCTCGCAGAGTAGCATGACAGGTTAATGAGGGAAAAAACATGCAGAAAGGGGCTGAGAGGCTCCCTAAGGACTGAGTGTGCTCGGTGTAAACACAGAACAACAACAATGGGTTCCAGCTAGTGCCAGTCGCGTGGCAGGCACTTCGTACCCATTGGCCTTAACGACGAGACACGGCTGCTTCTGATGCACTGCTGCAGAACTGAAGGAAAACTGAAAACCCACTTAATTCGTTCACCCACGGAGTCACTCTCCACATAGTAACAGAGAGTGGAGAGCCACACTCCAGTGCCTGTACTGGACAGTGGACCCTCAACAACATGGGTCTGAACTTCGATGCTTCCTTTGTTTATTTAGACACAGATTTTTTTTTTTTTCTTTCTGGCTGTGCTGGGTATCTGCTGTGGTTCTTGGGCTTCCCCAGTTGCCGGGTGCAGACTTTGTTGCCTCGGGGCACGTGGCATCTTAGTGCCCCAGCTGGGAACGTGCACCCCCTATACTGGAAGGCAGATTCTTAGCCACTGGACAATCAGAAACCCCCCCAGCTTTTCTTTTCAATGCTCACAACGGTACCTGAGATTGGTATATGATTTGAAATTGGGTGAATCTACAGATGTGGAATCTCAGGTGCAAAGGAATTGCAGGTAGAGGAGAACCACGTATATGGAGCTGACTATACAATTACACTCAGATCTACCATTGCAGAGAGGGGTGGCACCCCTCATCCACACTGTTCAAGGGTCAACAGCAGGTCTGGCAACAACAAAAAAACAGTCTCTTTTCCTTGGGTTAGCTATATCATCTCTCTCAAGTTTGGTTTCCTAATCTGTAAAACGAGCCAGATAGTGCTTATCTCAAAGGGTTATTTGGGGAACTAAATATGATAATACTTTAAATTGCTTGGCACAGCAGTCAAAATAATGGCATTCGTTACATTTCCTGATAATTACAGCTGCATTAGAAACCAAAGGGACTTTTGGTGCTGTGTCCTGCATAAGGGGAAAGGCCTGATCTTATTTATTAGGGGGAATTCTCAGTGAGGTGCAGAGAAATGCATGGAGGAGTGATGGTGGAGGTGAGGTGTGAAGAGAGGGAGTTAAGAGCCCACCATCAATGGTCAGGGGATGTCTCTGTCCCAGACTCCTGGGTAAGTGGAAAGGCAGGTGGAGATGGGCATGGGAAGGGTCTGGGATGACTTCAGATGCCAAGCTTGGGTTAGACTGAGATGGGGGCTGGGAAATGGAGCCACTGAGCATGGCTCAGTCCATGAGGGAAAGCTCCAATACCCTCTTACTTTCTCAACTCTCAAGATCCAAATCTAGAAAGACTGCAGATTCAGATGGGGAGGGAGACTTGTGAGAATGAGCAGCAAGCTAGAATCAGAGCCGAGCAGACAGGGAGGCTGGCCAGGAGCCTCGGACGTATAGCTTCAGCTCAACCACACAGAGGACTGTCAGGGAGATCTGCTTTATAAGTAGCGTGTGACAAGAAGAATGGTTTCTTATATTTTGGCATGAGGCTCTGGAATGTCCAGTCCTGGTATGCTGTCAAAAGATTTCATATCCTGAACCTTTTGCTGCTGTGTCACTGGTATGTCGTATCTGAGATAGTCTGGGAAGGAGCAAAAGCCAGTACCTTCTGCGATAACAATTAAAATTCTTGGATTTATATAATGTGATATGATGTGAGGGGCATTGTTGAGCTCTTGGCACAGCTATGACTGCCTAAGCAGAACACCAAAGGAAAAAGTCGACTCCGAGAGAGTTCTCAGAACATATCTGGAAGAGTCTGCTGGTTAATGCAGATACGTGTCCAAACAAGCACTGGTTTGCTCAGGAAAGATGCATAGCTGGCAAGTCTCCCTTGGCATGCAGAGCGTGAGTAATGCTTCATTTTAATGAGGGATCTTGGGGGTCTATAATAAAGACTATGTGGTATTTCCCACGTGTCTCTTTGGAACGTGGACTGATTGTACCCGCGGTGGAAGAAAAGCCATCAGAAAGTATGCAGTTCCTAAAACCTCTTGGGGTGCTACAAGATTCACATAATTTAATGGCATCTAAATGAATTCACAGAAATACACTCAGCATCCCCAGAGTAAAAATCTTCTCTTACCATAGGTAAGTAAATATGAGCACAAAGTAATGAGACTGTTGGTGGGGGAGGGGAGATGGGAAGGGTATGTGATTTTTAAACTAAAGCTATAGGCAGTTCCAGATGAACTGTAAACATTGTAACATCTCTGGAATAACTCTGAGCTTTCCTATCATGACTCTTCTGAAAGATAAGATGACCTGGATGGGTGGGATCGGGGTTGGTGGGAGGGAGGTCAAAGCAGGAGGGGAATGTATGTATACATACAGCTGACTCACTTCATTATACAGCAGAGACTAATACAACATTGTAAAGTAATTATACTCCAATTAAAAAAAAAGTCATCTGAACATCAAGTTCCTATGTATAAAGCACATAACCTTCATTTTTAAGACATTATTTCAGAGTCACACTTTAACCTGCGAGTCCGGATCATTTGAACTTTTTCTTTCAGAGAAAGCCAGTACTTAATGTTTTGGTTGGAAACAAAACCAACCTACAAAGTGACTAGGAAAACAAATGCTCCCCAGTCCTGAACAGTGAGTGGTCAATGAAGTGGCCCATGGAGCATGACCACATGTTTGTTCTAAGGGGTCTACTGTCTGGACGTCCCCTTAGATCCAGTCATAAGGTGCGCGTGACTTCCCAATAGCAAAGCCCCTTTTGGTTCAGATTTGGAGCCTTATTCAGGCAAAGTATGTGAAGTACTGTACTGACCTTTATTTGATATTTCTGGACTGGCTGGAGCAAAATGCTTCACGAGGACTGGACCTCCCAAAGTGCTCCAGGATTCTGGTGGGATTAAGTACAGTTCCGGGGTGTTTGAAAGGACATGACTCAGTCCCAAAAGTTTACAGGAGGGGATGGTGACCCAGAACTCAGCACAAGAGAGTCCCAAGAGACAGAAGTGCTAGGGGCAGAGACCTCTTTGGCATAGGCTAATATATTAAAGAGGACTTGGAATTATACAGAGAAATAAGACATTCTCTATCTTAAATAATTTTGAAATGTTAACACATGGTTAGAACTGAAATTAAAGTGAAATAAACTCATCAGGCAAAAAGTCTTATATCAGATAAATGTTGCCATCTCCTACTTGGGATTTATTCATGCCCAGTAGACCAAGTGGAGATTTTCTGTCATTTATTTACCCCAGTTTTTCAAAACAAAGCCATTAAGTGCATGCTCTAGGTGACAGTCAGGCTTTAAACTGAATCAGGAAAATGTACATTTTCACTTGTTTCACTTAGAGGGTGGAAGTCACTCCTGGAAGAGGTCATTCCTTCTGTCCTCATTTGCATTTGCTGCAACTCCCTACTCCCAACAAAAGCAACAACAACAACAACAAAAAAAAACCAAGTAAAAAAAGCAATAAAACTGATGTCCAAGAAAAACATTTAGTTTGAAAAAAGAGTTGAAAAATGCAGCCTTGGAAGAAGCACTGCTTACATGGGATTGTTCAACAAATTCCTGTTGTGTGAGGTTTGGCATATACTTTCTAAAAATATAAGCATCTGGGGAAATGAGACAAAGCCCAGGTCCTGGACCAAATGAGGCACACAGTGTGAATCTGTTAGTGATTATATCCATAATGAAATATGTGCCCAAATTTAGCAGCACAAAATCTAATATAATACGAAAGCCCAGGAGGCACCATCCTTACCATAATATATAGGCAACAGAGAAGGTACATATGGCGGCCAGTCCGCTGCTCCTGCTGGGATATGCATGGTGTGATGTCCTCATCTCGATTAATATAAAGGGCAACACCGTCGTGTGCTGAAAAAGAACAGAGAGCAGGTGACACGGGTTCTTATTATCACCCCTCAGCAGCTGTTTTGCCATCACTAGGAGAAAGGGTAGTGTCATTTCCAAGCAAAAGTGCCTCAGCAGAGACCAGTATATGGCCTGTCTAAGTGGTAGAACGGACATGAACACATGTAGTCCATCAATTGCTCCCCTGGTTTTTCTTCTGTACCATAGTTTTTAAACCTGTATTTTCTTTATTCTCATTACAGGAAATTATAGAAAGATGTAAAGGGAACAAATTAGAATATAATAAAGGAATAAAAACAACCACTGTTAATATTTTGCTACACGTCCTCCCCCCTCTCAAATTTTTGTTCATATTATTTATACACAGTTAAGCTCATACTGTGCATGGGCAGGAAAAGACACGGTAGGGATTGCGAAGGGAACATCTTTGGAGCAACTTACTGTTTATATTCATAGAAAAAATAGGATATTGTAAGAAATGATAAGACACTGGCAATTCTTTGCATTAAACTTTCTCTTCTACACAATTATTCCGACTGCCAATACATGGCAATTAGACTACGGTATGCCTACAATGTCCAGTGGGTGACTCCATAGTTGGGTAGCTTTATATTTCCTTATCCTTTGCTTCTCTGTTATTGTTTTAAATAATTAGTATGATTAACTATAAAGGGAACCACACAAAATGTACACATGTGTTAATACAGAGATGGTATGTATTTTAAAGACCTATTTCATTGTTGTTGTTGTTTTTCCCCACTATAATTTAGTCACCTCAGATAATGTTGGCCTGGAATTTCACCAACAATTTGAGATGCCAAAAATAGTTCTGCAATAGTGACTTCGTGTAAAAAGTCAAATATATAGTTAGCAATAAGGCTAAGACTTCTCAGATCCCACATAGAAGAAAAATCCCTGCAAATCAAATATTTACACTGAAGATAGTGGTGACTCTAATAGCCTGTGTTGATTATAAAATGATATTATTTTTGACTTTTTAATATTAAGATATATCTAAGCTCTACTTCTTACTCCATTGCACCACACTGAGTAAAAATTCACTCATTTTTCTATAAACTTGTATAAGTTCCAACAACTAATCTGAATACTTTTACCCAGTTAACATTATTTTACCAAGCCTATTTGCTGATCATCAGATGTCAAACCTGGAAAGGTTAGGATGTCCTTTGGTGATGCCAGGCAATAAAAAAAAAATCTCTTTGAAAAACAAAAATCTCTCCAGGTCACTTCATTTCTGGCATCATCGCCACTAAAAAGGAGCTATCTGTTCCATTAGCGAGGACAAAAGATCTTTCTGTGGCTAGCTGTGCCCATGCCAGTTTTGACCAGGGGAAAATTCTATATGAGAGTAGTAACAGCTTATTATGTAGAATTTTCAGGCACTAAAGAATGTATGTGCTCTTTTCTAAAATTTTATAATGCAAATTATGTTTACTGATAAACATTACATATTAACAAAAGTAAAAATAGTGCAAAATATTTACAGCAAATATAAATGTTTCTCTGCATGTAGCTAAAGTCTTACGACTAAAAAAAAAGATTTAAAAAAATCTATGAAAGGCCTTGTTGAATCTCTAAGTTACCTTTGGCAGCTAATTGTGACTCAAAATCTGTAGCAGCAAGAGGGGCAATGACTTCAGAACTAGGGGTACAAGAAATTCAGTTCTAATCCACTCCCAGGCAATACTGTTTCAATGACTTAAGAACCAGGAAAGAAATATTCAGCTCCATTTAAGACCAAAGCTGCGCAAGAGTGGTAAGCTTACATTTTGTTCACTGTGGTATTCGGAGCAGTTAAAAAAGAGCCTAGCACACGGGAGGGGCTCAATAAATATTTGTGGAGATCATTTAATCTTTGAAACAACATCCTAAGTGGGAGTTACTAACTTTTTTCTGTAGATGGGATTAACAAAGACTCGGAAAAAGTAACTGTCTTGTTAAAAATTATTTATTTATTTGTTGCTTTTGGTTGTGCTGGGTCTTCCTAGCTGTGTGCAGGCCTTACTGAGTTGCAGCGAGCTGGAGCTACGCTCCAGTTATGGTGCGTGGGCTTCTTAACTGCAGTAGCTTCTCCTGTCGCAGAGTACCGGCTCTAGAGTGTGTGGGCTTCAGTAGCGGTGGCCCACCAGTTCAGTGGCCATCCCCAATCCCCCACCTCCCGGCATATGGAATCTTCCGGAACCAGGATCAAACCTGTGTCCCCTGCATTGGCAGGTGAATTCTTAAGCACTAGACCACCAGAGAAATCCAAAGGCAATAACTGTCGGGCCCTACTAAGTAAGTCTACCAAGTGTTCAAGACCAGTTCTGTCTTCAAATTTCATGCTGTTTCATATATTAGAATTATGTCTTTAAAAGATATCAAAGATAAATCATGTTTGACTCAATAAGCTTCTGGCAGTACATGATTTAAGGTTACTTATGTTGTCTCTCAACAAACCAGAACTATTTTTTTGGTTAAGCCTCAAAATAAACAAAAAGATTTCCACTGTGAAAAAACACATTTTGCTAAATGAGTTCTTTCCTGTGACATTTAGGCATCAGAACAGTATCATGGAGGAGGGACACAAATACAAAGTGCCTACAAAAGTCAAAAGTCCTAATTCAGACCTGTCGCAGGCTACGTGAGTTTTTAAATAACTTTTTTAGTCAATTCACTTTTTTTTCTTAAGTAAATACATTTAAAGGAAAACTTATGAGGCTTATAAACTCTCCTAAATGGAATACGTTAATAAAAGATAGCCACAAAAACGAATACATGGAAACTAATTGATCTTGATAAATATTCAACAGACGCGTTTGCCTGTTTGATTCGGAAGCCTGTTCTATATGTGTTAAGTAGGGGTGTTAGAATTAGAGGGGCCTTAAAGACATGCACATAGAGCTGGACACAACTGAGTGACTTAGTATGCATGTACAAAGACAGGCTAGAATGAAATACAGACCCTTCTAAATGAAATCAGAAGGACTGAAAGATAATTAAGAGAGAACTACCTTTTCACCAGGTAATTCAATACTATTTAATGCCAGGGCCCCGTGCCCCTAAGTTATCTCGAATACCATCTGAGTCACACACCTATGCTCTGGAACAGATTATCTATAAATTGTACCTGTACCTTCTAAGTGCTGAATTATTTGATTTATGAACAGGTGTGCTTTTGCCAGAAAAAATGGAGAGATAGATGAGTAGGAAGTTTAGGTATGGATGGAGGAACTTAATGGTATTTAACAAGATTTAAAAAATGGATTTCTACTACACAAGAAGGGTCTGGACTTGCTATGGGAAAAATACATTCATTATTTGTGATGGCATTTGGCAATCTATAAAGTAGAGGGAAGTTTTATAATAAACTTTCTTGCAGAATAAATAGAAGGATTAAAATATATGCTGTGTGATGGTACAAAAGTAGAGCAGATGAATTAGGAGACTGCTCAAGATTACTTTAAAGTTCTAGCATCTGTGGTTATAGTCAGAATGTGTAATACATAAAATATTAAATGAAATTTGAAGACTGCCACCTTCCATTTCTTTGGTCTTTCTCTTGCTTTCCAAAATATATACATATTTAAGGTGAACATTTAAAAAATATTTATTTATTTGGCTGCTCTGGGTCTTAGCTGCAGCATACGGGATCCAGTTCCCTGATCAGGGATCCAATCCAGTGCCCCCCTGCATGGGGACCACGGAGTCTTAGCCCACTAGACTACCAAGGAAGTCTCCAAAATATTTTTTTAAATAGAAAGGTACTGCTTCCATACCATATAACACAGATTAAAAATTATTTCAATGGACATTGGGGTACATTTATCTTTTCAAATAACTAGGACATAGAAACAACTTAAATGTCCATTGATGGAGGAATGGATAAAGAAAATGTGGTATGTATATATTATATATACTATGGAATATTGTGCTATGCTTTGCTTAGTCACTCAGTTGTGTCCAACTCTTTCTGACCCCATGGACTTAGCCTGCCAGGCTCCTCTGTCCCTGGGGATTCTCTAGGCAAGACTACTGGAGTGGGTAGCCATTCCCTTCTCCAGGGGATCATCCAACCCAGGGATTGAACTCAGGTCTCCTGCACTGCAGGTGGATTCTTTACCAGCTAAGCCATCAGGGAAGCCCAAGAATACTGGAGTGGATAACCTATCCCTTCTTCAGGGGAACTTCCTGACCCAGAAATTGAACTGGGGTGTTCTGCATTGCAGGCGGATTCTTTACCAGCTGAGCTACCAGGAAAGTCCATCGCTTAAATATTGGATCTTAAAAAAAATGGTACAAATGAACCTATTTACAAAACAGAAATAGAGTCACAGATGTAGAAAAAAAAAAAACTTAAGGTTACCAAAGGGGAAGGGTAAACAGGGATAAACTGGGAGATTGGGATTGACATATACAACTGCTGTGATAAGACAACTGAGCGACGTGTATAAAACAAATAACTAATAAGACCCTACTGTATGGTACAGGGAACTCTACACAATACTCTGCAATGACCTGCATGGGAACAGAATCTAAAAAACCATGAATATATGTATATGTCGTGACATAACTGACTCGCTTTGCTGTACAGTGGCACAGGTCTGGAAAAGGTCTGTTTTCATTCCAACCCCAAAGAAAGGCAATGTCAAAGAATGTTCAAACTACCACACAGCTGCCCTCATCTCACAAGCTAGCAAAGTAATGCTCAAAATTCTCCAAGCCAGGCTTCAACAGTAAGTGAACCGTGAACTTCCAGATGTTCAAGTTGGATTGAGAAAAGGCAGAGGAACCAGAGATCAAATTGCCAACATTCGCTGGATCATCAAAAAAGCAAGAGAGTTCCAGGAAAACATCTACTTCTGCTTTATTGACTATGCCAAAGCCTTTGACTGTGTGGATCACAACAAACTGTGGAAAATTCTGAAAAGAGATGGGAATAGCAGACCACCTTACCTGCCTCTTGAGAAATCTGAATGCAGGTCAAGAAGGAACAGTTAGAA